CTACCGGTGTATACAGGGAGAACCTAAGAAGGGCTGACTGAAACTAAGAAGGGCTGCCTGTATACAGCGGTAGACATCTGTAAACAACCTGTACACACAGTTGTAGACACGCTGTATACATCCCAAGAAACCAGGTAACTACCGATAGGTCTACAGGGTGTCTACAGCCTGTATCCAGATGTCTACTGTGTCTACAAGGAGAGAAAAAACGACTCACTTTTTTTTCTTTGGTACGAAACGTGCCACAGGTGTCGATTCGGATACCATTATAACCCACCTCGAGTCGGATAACATCGCGACCGAACACAAGTCGGCTAACAACGGAACGCATCGGATGGAAGTCGACTGAATACTTCCACCAAAGGAACTCAAGATTTCCGACCGGACCTTCGACCAGTTCGTATCGGATAAACCCCATAACCAGGCTCGTGGTAGCAGATTGAGCGGTTTTAACCGATCACTTTTGAACGGAATTGCTGTACTCGACGACCACACAGGTCGCATGACTTAGGCACAGCTTTCTCCGACCTGAACTGTAGGAATTCGGAACTTAGCCGGATTTCCAGGCCGCCGGTCGACTTACCGGTAGGCCGACCTTGGTCAACGGACCTCAGTCCAATTTTCCCATTAGAGAGGATGCCAGGGCATTCGCAACTGCGACAGTATCTCTCCATTCCTAACGGACGGATACGAGTCGGAAGTAAGTGTTTAACCGTGATTATCCGACCTCGGTGAACTTGACCGGTTACGACGGGTAATTCGGGAACCGACGCCCCGGACCCAGCTTGCCGGATGAGATTGGACAGGAGAACCCGTGGAGGTTCAAGCACCCCGTGGACGTCATTCTAGTCGAAATAAGACCACCGGACAGATTTTGCATTTTTTTAGCAATTTTCCTAACAAAGGGAATTGTATTCTTCTAGTTCGATCTTTTCAACAGAGCTCTCGTTTTTGCTCACTGGAATTGGTGTAAACTTTATTTTATACTTTTCTTTCACGCTTTATAACTTTCATTACATTTTCTTTTTCACATTGTTGTCCGATGCCAACCGAAGCAAGAAACCAGCCATCAGATGCATCACCGGTCCAATGAAAAGCCCGAGCGACTTCCGGATTTCCCGGCCGTGAATTGCTTGCCTCTCATGGGTTCGCAAGTAAAGTATGGGGCGGTCGACTAGATACCGGACTCCCGGTGCATGAGGGCGCGTACCGGCGACCCCACATGGGTCCATCCGGAGAGTTGTGCGATACTGGTGCGGTATCGAGTCGGAGCATCCTTCGCAGGGGCTCTGATTCCCGCCCAGAGGCATATTAGGCGTACGAGCCTGCGAGTGGTGCTCCGACCACACAGGGCGTACTTGCACTCACTTGCATGCAGTATCGCCTCTCTCACTTGTACGTATGTGCGCTGCTGCACTGCACTCATCCGCTGAAGCGGATATACGCAGCGCATACGCTGAATAGCACTGCTCTCTCGTCCCTCTCTCGCAGCACCAATCAGCGTTCATACGCTCGCGTTGGATCGAATCGAGTCTGCGTATCACACAGCTGATATGTCTGGACCGCATCACGCACGTGTTTGCCGCTAGCCTTCTTTCACGCCTTGGCAGACGCTCAAAAACCCTTTTAGCAACCACTTGCTAGATTCAGCCAGACATTGGCATTGTTCTTTCTTCCTGCTATTACGCAGTATAGTCAGCCTTTATTGGTCAATAAAGACACTTGCAAGCTCCTCACACTTCTCTGTTACATCACTCAGCTGAGGTTCTGTGCAACGGAAAGGTCACTACTTTTCCTAGCACGTCTGCCCTCTGAACAGTGACAGTAGCTTGGTCACTCAATTTTCTAATACCTCTGCAACGCTGTTGACTGGACAGTTGTCTACCTCGGTCACTCACTTTGCTAACACCTCTATTCGTCTCTTAACGGCATCTGTGCAATAGACACTAGACAGTAGAGAACGCTCGTTACTCAATCACCGCTCGTTACTCAGTTGATATTTGGTAGTTTAGGTCACTGATTCACTTAGCGACCTCTGTCCACGGAACACTAGTAGAAACCCAGTTACTCAATAACCTAATCCGCTATTTGTACTGGACAGTGATGACAACTCGATCACTCATTCACCTAACGAGATATGTGCACTGCACATTAGTGGTACTTCGGTCAATCTCTCACTGGACGGAAGTCTTAGTGCGGTCAATCTCGCACGTACCGGGCTCTGTGCACTGCACGGTAGTGGTAGTTCGGTGCACGTGCAGTTGCTCGATGGCAGTCGAGGCAGAGACGCATAGTCGTCCATTTCTTACTAACGGCCTACTTGAATAATTAAATGGAAGATTTTAGAAAAGACTTAAGGGGACCCCTAGCCGCAGTTGGGTGGGTCTGGGAAAACGGGATTAGCATGGAAACGATGACCGGATATGTTATCCTTATTCTGACTGAGCGCGGAGAGGATTTAGCTACAAAATGGTGTGGCGCGATCCTCTCTGGCCTGTGTCTAGACCGAGCTGTTCACTAAACAAAGAAAAACCTTTGAAAGCAAAAGTTGAATGACAAAGTTCCTTTGTTTTTGACGTAACCTACATTGTTGTACCTGTTATCAGCTGGAAAGCTTATATACCGAAACATGCTAATAAAAAACTTCGATATCTGATCAACAAAACGCAAACAACACTTTTCAAAAACTGTTTTTTCAGTTATTCGGAATGTAGGATGTAGAACAGCAGTGGTGTTTCGATATATAAGCTTTCTGAAAAAAAACTGATTTTATGATGTTGGCTGTGTTTCCATACCATGTTTGGTTCTCAAGTTTTAGATTTTCAAAGTCTTGAATTTTGTATTATTCAAAACTGCAACCAAAGAATGGGCTGTTCGGCAGACAGGCTGCTTATCGTGGCTGATCCGGCTGGCCATCCGCGCGCTTTTAGCACACAAAAACTCTATTAAGTACTATTTTTTTCAACGGGGTAAGTATTGTCATTCATTTGTAATAACTATGTAAAATTAGTATTGCAGAACGTTCGGTGACGTGTACGCGCGCACATCAAAAATGCCGCCCATCGCGCATGTGAAGATACCGATCTTCGCCAGCGCCGATCGCGGATATGCTGCAGCGCATGGTTATCAGTTTGCCAGATCATATCGGGATTCAGTGTGAGCGAGTGTATGGCTTGCTGTATCTTCTGAGCATTGAACATCTTTTCCCAGCGCGATTTTCGTTTCTGGTTCTACGAACTCACAAAATTACTATTTGAACATCCTTCATCTCAAATGCACGTGAAAAATATTATAAATCCGTAAGCATTCCATGCGGATGGAAAACGAGAAGGAACACGAATTTTTTTAGCCGCCAAAGTAACTGCGGTGAAGGCAGGACAGCGCTCAAGTTTGAGCGAAGATCCGTATCTCTGCTGCGTCTATGGGCGGCATCTTTGATGTGCGCGCGTACACGTCACGGAACGTTTTGCAGTACTAACTTTACATAATTATTACAAAAAAATGAATACTTACCCCGTTGAAAAAAATAGTACTTAATAGAGCTGATTTTTCTCTACAGAATGGTATGTTTCATGTATTCACCAGGAAACCTTCTCCGAAAATATCTGCTTGTGAGCTGAATCAACACCGGCTTGGAATACCATCTGACCGCCTGCCTGCCGCAGGTGTGTGTGGCCATGGCCAGCCGGCTACAGCAATCAGTTTACTCGATGAGCGCTTACCCGGTCTTGGTTTTCAAACTGTAACTTAAAGGAGGTTTTACTAATTGTGTTTTGCAATACATCATCATAAAGATAAAAGAATTCTCTACCAGGGCATATAAAACTTGGCAACTTTATAAAAGCGGCCAAACTAAAAACGCAGCGGCTAGTGGTCCCCTTAAACCGTCTTTTAGCTAGCTTTCCTGACAACATTGCCTGGTTAAAAAAACCATAATAATTCATTATTTTAATGATATTCCAGCCGAACAAGTTCAGTGCGGTTTAGTAACAGTCAACCCGAGAGAATCAGTTGAAGGCATTCTCACATCGACATGCAGCTTTTAAGGGATTTGGCCCGGTACATAGCACTAAATTCGTGTACATTGGCGGGAACTTTCGCAGTCGCGCACTCCCAAACACTTTTTTGCAATGCTTTATGGTATTATGTAGCCGAAAGAATTGTATACGTAGTTGTGAAATCCGTTTGCGCGCGCAACATCCGGTTGCGGAGTTATGAGGGTAACAAAATTCCAAAAAGTTTAAATGCATTCAGGTGTACCAAAAGTCTCATTATGGACCGATCCCTTTCAAATTTTGCACGTAAATGCACATAACCATGAAGATTGTTTTGGTACGGAACCAGACTTCTAGGATTTTTTTTAAATTTTAAAATGAATTTTAAAATTTTTGAAATTCATTTTAAAATTCGAAAAAAATTGTAGAAGTCTGGATCCGTACCAAAACAATCTTCATGGTTGTGTGCATTTACGTGCAAAATTTGAAAGGGATCGGTCCATAATGAGACTTTTGGTACACCTGAATGCATTTAAACTTTTTGGAATTTTGTTACCTCATAACTCCGCAACCGGATGTTGCGCGCGCAAACGGATTTCACTACTACGTATACAATTCTTTGGCTACAAAATACCATAAAGCAATGCAAAAAAGTATTTGGGAGTGCGCGACAGCGAAGGTTGCCGTGGATGTACACGAATTTGGTGCTATGTACCGGGCCAAATCCCTTAAGCATAAAGGTAAGGCAATACCAAAGTACCTCGCAACACTGTCGAAGGCGGCGTGACTATATAGTACCTTTAATAAGTATCACACGCTAGTACACACTTAGTACTGAAACAAAAAGAATATTCATAGCAAAAACACTTCCTCAATGCTATCCTGGTCGGGAATTGTACCCATCACACATATTGCGTTTCCTCTCTGTATTTGAATAGATAGCCGCTGCCTAAAAAACTCTTTCGCTCGTTTCTGGCCTGTTGCAGAAGCTATCCCGTTTCCAACCTTATCCACTAACGTCTTAGTACCACATCCCCATGGCCCGTAAATTTCGAACGCTGCTGCCTTGAGGTTGTACCGAGGTTGCAGCCAGGCGTGTTTTGTCAGCTTCGCCCTTTCCGCTTGTTCAGCTGCTGCTCCGACGTTTACAGAGGTACGGTCGATATACGAGGCGGCGAGTGTGTCGACGCATGTTACATCCACGGCCAGCGGTTTTCCACGCTCCCATGGTACCAGAGTAATCACATCCGGCCTTTTCTTATCCTTCAAAGACAGACCCTTTGGTTCCATTCTCGCAGGAAAACCTGCCGTTTTCAATCCACGGGCGATCTCCCCGCTTATGCCGTCGTGTCGTGGCAGTCTGCCTGCTGACCGTTTGCATCGGAGCCCGTGCCGCCCCAATTCATCCACCAAGCCGCCACATACGCACACGTGGGGAGTAACAATTGGAGCTCCCAGTCGCAGCGCGACGCTTATGCGAAAGGCATTGTTCTCCAGAAGATTACCGAGACAAGCTGCCGGTAATGCATGAATCCACACACCTGATTCCGGGACTGATACTGCTTTCAGGTGGGCGACTTCCTCCTGTGTGGTCCTTATGGCTGCCAGTCGGGAAAAGGCATGTAGCGTCGCAGGTGTGTCCCATGCTTTCTGGACGTGGCGGAACGGGAGGGGCGGAAGTTCATCTGTATCGGACGTCAGTTTCCAGGCATGCGTGGCGGCGGTCACATCCGTAGCCGTTAGCTTCGGGCAAAGCTTGGAAATCAGCGGGTGCAACGAGGAAGCCGATGCCATATAGGCAGAGGGAGCTAGCTTCTCCGTGCGTCTGATCCCCAAACCACCGAAGCGAACGGGAAGTGAGGCTTGAAGCCACGTCGGGTGGTCCATACGTACATTAGTGATGGATTCCACAGCGTCGCGGAACACCTGGTCGAGTCTGTAAAGTTCATGAGGGAACATCCATGCTAAAGAAGTACGAAGGATGTGGACGATCTTCGGCACTGCTAAACAGTTCTTCAAGAGGAAGAGCGCTTGATGTTTAGGGAGCAACCGAAGGCGATCACACATTACTCCCATTTGGCTTATCTTCTCATTGACCATTGGTACAACAGCGGCGGGCAACAGGGGGGACCCGAGAAGGTTGAGTTTTTCTGCCGATGTGATAGTTATACCAGGGAATAAACGGGAAAATTCGTCCGCGGCAGACATTCGTTGAGCGTCTGTGCCCCCGCAGAGGAACAGTTCACACTTAGCAATATTGACAGTAAGGCCGATTTTCTGTGCTTCCATGATCAGCTGCTGAAAATTGTGGATGACACTCGCAGGACGGCCTCCAAGGGTTCCGTCGTCCATGAACCAGGCGTTCAGATCAGTGTTCAGCTTATCAATGACGATTTGCAGTACCAAACAAAACAGGGCTGGGCCAAGTGGATCTCCCTGCTGCACACCGGACTGGGAAGTGATGACAGTGTCGCCCAAGAACAGCGATGAATAGGAGCCGTAGCACATCCTGATGAACGTAATGTAATACATCCTGACGACTGTAATGATTGAATCCAAAGCAGTAAATATATTCACCGGAAATTGCGAAAAAATAGTTCAAAATAGTTTTGATATACAGCCCTATCACACTTATTTTCAAAAATCAGTTATTTTCGAAAACCTATTTTCAAAAATCACTAAAGGTCAGCCGGCGATAAATTTATAATTATTTGATTTTGATATCGTTGCTGCATGTGTCTAGCATGTTTTGCATTTTAGGCTGCCCTGCTGAGAGCATATTTCAGTTTACAGCGATATAAAAATAAAAACCGACCGGATTAAAAATGTGGCTCGAACCATTGGCCGTGGTTGCCATCTTCCGACTCAAAAATTTGTGTAAAAATTTCACTAATCCCGCACAGCAAGAATAATATGTTTGGACTGTTTCGCAACCAATGCTTTTGCGATATATGCAGAACACCCATCGAATCCCATGAAACCTGCGTGACCTTTGGAAATTTACGGCGGGCACCGTCAAAGAAGAGGACGATCTCCTTTGCGCCTTCGCCGGACAGTCGCCGAATGTCGCAAGCAACCATGTTTGATAAAATCTCATTCCGAAGTTGTTGAGCGCCCTTTTTAAATTTTCATTTACACAGCAAGCCCGAGGCATCTCGTTCCAGCAGGTTTAAGCAGCAGTCTTAGCTTTTTTTATTCATCACTTTAATGGTTTTTTCTTCCATTTCGTCCGGCGCTTATACCTTCTCGTCTGTGTTGTGGACATTTGTCAACACTCTAAAATAAAGTAACGTAGTACACGTCTGATTCATGGAAGTTTTCAGTTCGAGGTCCGCCACATCCATGTGCTAGGCAACCGCACTTCTCGGTATGACCTTTTGAACATAGAAGTCTATGGGAGAACCACTTTGTTCCGAGATCAGCGCAAGCACTGATCATGCAAGATTTTTCTGATAACGCGCGACGCCTGTGAATCATTCAATAACTTTTAAAATTCCCCACGGAAAAATCTTAAGTGGTGATACTTTTCCAAGAGCATTCATAAGCATGAAACAAACGGCCGCTACCCCCTCCTCTAAAACACCGCTCGTCTCCCTGCTGGCACATCAAAACTTTGATGTTGACTTTGATGTTGATGTTGCAGGATTTGCAATAAAAACTACGCTAAAATAGTGCAAAACGTACGAAAATAATTCTTGATTTATTCTATGCAACTATCCATACTTGGTGCAATAGAGCCGTAAGTTGCGCGGCCGAATACTTTGATATTAATGCACAGTTCGCTGCATAAGAAGACTGCATACAAACAACTAATAACAAACGTAGCAACAACATGCTGATTGCAATGAGGTTGCTACGACCAGTGCCGGAACAATTTGCGGGACATCGCAATACGTGATTATACGTCACACCATTCGAACACTGGGAACACACAACGTGTGGCAAAATGGCTAAAGGCTATTCTGCCGACTATGCTGGGGCAAAATAACTAAAGACTATTTGGGCGCAGTGTGGGGCAAAATAGCGAAAGGCTATTTTGCCCCCCATACTGGGGCAAAATAGCTAAAGGCTATTTGAACCCAGTGTGGGGCAAAATAGCAAAAGGCTATTTTGCCACACTGCAGAATACTGGGGTAAAATAGCCATAGCCAAATTATTGGGTATTACTACTACTGTGTGTAGTAGTCTACTGTTTTGTCTGTGAATTATATTTTGACATTGTTTTGCGACATTTTTTGTAGCATTGTTTTTTTTATTTCATCGGCTTTGATTATTTTTCTTGTGCAAAGAAAAGAACTGTGGTAGCATCCACTTCCTGTAAACGAATTTTTATGTGCGTACCTGCTGTTGAAATGTTTTCGATAATTGAGACATTTTGTGTTGAGTTGATTGTGGGATTAATTTTTAGGGGTTTTTTGCTGCAGACTCTGCCGCTGGAGACGGACATCCGCGCGGCGTACGGCAAGGGCACGGGCGACAAGCAGAAGTTCATCCAGAACCTGACGCTCTTCCTGGCCACCTGTAGCAAGGAGCACGGCCCGCTGATCGAGAAAACAGCCGAGCTGCGGCCCCAGCTGCTGGAGACGCTGCGCTACGTGCTGCTCATCTAACTGCTGGTGGAGATGGTTCTGAATACGCTGGCCTCGGAGCTCTACCTGGAGCACTCTTCAGCGCCTACCCCGCTGGCGCCCTCTTCCCGCCTTCGTTGATGAAGAGCGGCGGCCTGGAATCTCAGGCGCAGCACACGAAGCGCATCTTTGTGGAGAATGTCGAGAAGCTGCACCTGCAGACTGCGGATGAACGGCATGGAGTGGTCGTGGGACTATTATTTTTGCATTTTCTTGTTGCAGTTGACTATTCTATTGTCTCATTATGGATGCAATTGTAAGAGCTGTTACCCGTTAATATTTCGGTGATGTTACCATTGGTCTGTTTTTCATGGTTTCACTTTTATGCTTTCGTGGTTAAGAATGTTCCATGCACTTCCGCCTAAATGTTCCGAAAAGTTGCTAATGATACCTAGTTTTGTTGCTCATTTTGTTCGTGAGAACACCCGAAAAAGTAATCGAAACGGTACGGAAAACACTCCCAATTTAGTAACTCTACGAGGTGCAAACAGGAAGTTCGAAGTACAGATGAAGTAGACAAAGCAGTTTCAAGACCAGTACGACTTTTTGACTTGGGAAGCTTCCAGCTTCCTTCAATGACCAAACAAAGTCTCAGCTGTGTTTGGTGGCCGGACAAAGCAGTCAATGCGTCCGGGTTGAAATAGTACTCTGCACTCCGACCAGAGTGTCCGGGCTGAAATGGTACTCCGTCCAAAGTGTCCGGGCTAAAGTAGTACTCCGTCCAAAGTGTCCGGGCTGAAATAGTACTCCGTCCAAAGTGTCCAGGCTGAAGCAGTACTCCGTCCAAAGTGTCCGGGCTAAAGTAGTACTCCGTCCAAAGTGTCCGGGCTGAAATAGTACTCCGACCAAAGTGTCCGGGCTGAAGTAGTACTCCGACCAAAGTGTCCGGGCTGAAGTAGTACTCCGACCAAAGTGTCCGGGCTGAAATAGTACTCCGTCCAAAGTGTCCGGGCTGAAATTGTACTCCGACCAAAGTGTCCGGGCTGAAATAGTACTCCGACCAAAGTGTCCGGGCTGAAGTAGTACTCCGACCAAAGTGTCCGGGCTGAAATATTACTCCGTCCAAAGTGTCCGGGCTGAAGTAGTACTCCGTCCAAAGTGTCCGGGCTGAAGTAGTACTCCGAACAAAGTGTCCGGGCTGAAATTGTACTCCGACCAAAGTGTCCGGGCTGAAGTAGTATTCCGTCCAAAGTGTCCGGGCTGAAATAGTACTCCGACCAAAGTGTCCGGGCTGAAATATTACTCCGTCCAAAGTGTCCGGGCTGAAGTAGTACTCCGACCAAAGTGTCCGGGCTGAAATTGTACTCCGACCAAAGTGTCCGGGCTGAAGTAGTATTCCGACCAAAGTGTCCGGGCTGAAATTGTACTCCGACCAAAGTGTCCGGGCTGAAGTAGTATTCCGTCCAAAGTGTCCGGGCTGAAATAGTACTCCGTCCAAAGTGTCCGGGCTGAAATTGTACTCCGACCAAAGTGTCCGGGCTGAAATAGTACTCCGACCAAAGTGTCCGGGCTGAAGTAGTACTCCGTCCAAAGTGTCCGGGCTGAAATAGTACTCCGACCAAAGTGTCTGGGCTGAAGTAGTACTCCGTCCAAAGTGTCCGGGCTGAAATAGTACTCCGACCAAAGTGTCCGGGCTGAAGTAGTACTCCGTCCAAAGTGTCCGGGCTGAAATAGTACTCCGACCAAAGTGTCTGGGCTGAAGTAGTATTCCGTCCAAAGTGTCCGGGCTGAAATAGTACTCCGACCAAAGTGTCCGGGCTGAAATTGTACTCCGACCAAAGTGTCCGGGCTGAAGTAGTATTCCGTCCAAAGTGTCCGGGCTGAAGTAGTACTCCGTCCAAAGTGTCCGGGCTGAAATAGTATTCCGTCCAAAGTGTCCGGGCTGAAATAGTACTCCGTCCAAAGTGTCCGGGCTGAAATTGTACTCCGACCAAAGTGTCCGGGCTGAAATAGTACTCCGACCAAAGTGTCCGGGCTGAAGTAGTACTCCGTCCAAAGTGTCCGGGCTGAAATAGTACTCCGACCAAAGTGTCTGGGCTGAAGTAGTACTCCGTCCAAAGTGTCCGGGCTGAAATTGTACTCCGACCAAAGTGTCCGGGTTGAAAAGGCTCTCAGGAGCTTCAGGTCCCACCCAGAACGCCAAAAAAGTTGGGTGGGCAAAATTTACGGCGGACGTTTTTTTGGCCCCCGGACGGTTTGGTCGGTTTAACGACCAAAACGTCCGCCGGACGTCTTGGTCGTCCGGACGTTTTGGTCGGTTACAGTCGTCGTCATGAGTTAGTCGTAGACTGAGCTCGTCAGTTCTAACGAACAGCCAACTAACGTTGGCTGTTTGCACAGATCTTCCTGCTTGCGCAGCTACTGATACGAACAGGATGATCGATTTGATGTAGCTCGTGCTTCCATTTTGGTATGCGTGTGGCATCTGCGCTTTCTATCGACAAACGGTTGTTAGACGAATCACGGTTGCTGATTTGGCAGCGAATAGTCATTCCCTCGTCAAAAAGCGCACCTTAAATCGCTATCTTTTTTCGTGTGTGATATCCTGAAGATTTTCGACAGTTTCACCATGCCACGAACTCTCCGCTGCAACTTCCATAAAGGTCACTCCTGGGCGTACAATGAAATCCTTACGGAAGCCCTGGTTGTTTTGTGGTTCGCCAGTCAAGTGTCTATGAAATTCGGGATGCGTTCTTTTCCAGACTGGCGAGCGAATCGGGTGGATCCCAACGCTCCGCTGGCATTGGACAGCATCCTCGAATTCTTTGGATACGTGAGTTGTCTTTTTACTAGAGCCGTCGTTTTAGCCTAAAAAAATTGCATAAGTGTATTTGGTAGGTAGTATTCTGGGGGTCCTCCATTGTTTTTTTTTTTAACTGATAGAAACTGCATTGTAATGGCTGATAAATCATAGAAGTCACGGGAACAAAATTACGAAGCAGCAACACACTGGTATAAGTTCTGTTATTCTACAGAACCACATAAGCACACAGACATAAGCACGTAAGCACGTTGCTTTTAAATTATAAGGCAGGATACATTCACGACAATAAGTAATTAAAAATGTCGAAGTGCAGCTTAATTAACAATTTAACAGGAGATTTGTGACCTGGGTGCACTATATACTCAGTGATCAGTTACGTGGTAGCAAATCATAGTTCATTAATAGATGACAAATACTCAGATTGTAAAATATTTTCAACATTAATAAATTTCTTATTAATTTTTGGTAGCCGATGAGCGCCTGTGTGTGGGATGGCGTCATGTCTGCATGGGAACCGTCTGCCGGTACAACAACTTCGCTCGGCAAAACTCCGTGTGACGCAGTCTCCCCATCCAGACCCGCTGTGGGATACCCAGGCACAGTCGTCACAGTAGGCGCTAGTGTCATCTTGGCTGTGGCCGTGTGTTGCTCGCTGTTGATCAACCTGAACTGGGAACATGCGCCATGGCCGTATCACTTTCGCCATTGTCAACAGCTCGCGGCGGTTTTCGGTTACACTGGCTACGACATTGCGTCGTGCATTGGAACGATCCTGCGTAGTCTGCCGCTGTTGATCGGATTGGGTTGCATCGCCGCGGTGTGGCTGGTTGTTTGCGCATTACCGGTCGTGCTTTTTGCAGCGACCCTTGTTGTGGCAGCTGTTAAAACACTAGGTACGGACGCTGTTTTTCCCTGCTGCGTTATCACCATATGTCTGTTGACATTGAACTGCCTCGGGAGATTATTTGGATGGTGGATGGATCGGCCTTATTTGGCACCGGTTTACGAGAAAATTCAGTACGTAATGCTGTACGCAGTACTATGCAGTTAGCACAATCTATTAATTCAGTTTGCAGTATTTACAAGCCTGTCCAGTAATTCCTATCATAGAGGTGGCAGGTCTACAGATAGCATGCATTTAGCGCAAAAGTTGCGCTATGAACTTGTCACTCCATTATGTCTACTACAGCGAAAAGTTTACTCGTGTGGTGTATGTACTACTACAATTGTATTATACATACGTACGGTGCGATTCTAACAATTTTTTTTCTTTACTGTACTTTTTATTTGATCACAACCGATAATTTGTGCATACAGTACAGAAAACACGTAAAACTGTTCTAACAATTGTTTCTCGTGATTCTTAGTTTCCTAATTCTGCTTCCTTCTTAGCAACTTTCTGTTTCCTCGATTCTCGTAGCTACGGTAGCTACGATTTTGTCTTTTCTGTTCTGCTGCCGTTTGTTGCGATACTAGTCAGATCAGTACAGAGCGTACGATTCTACAGTAGATACAATACGTATATTACAACTCGTCTCATTATTTAAGGTTATTAAAAATAAGAGAAGTTAATATTTTATGGTTTGTGTCGATAGTTTATCATTCAGATCGATATTTGGCATGTTTAGCGTTAAGAAGTGTGGCATGGCGCGTCGTAGTATGGAGTCGGACGTACCCTGTGAACTCGCATTTGTCGCTGCGCTAATGCGTTAATAATTACGTGACAAGCTTATATCCAACGCGAAAATCAGTTACGCCCATTCCTCTGAAAAACTGGAAGTATGTGTTATTACCTCATTTTATTCTGCGCAGACGGATGCTGCTTGGTGCTGACCAAACGTCCAGATACTGTCTTTTGGAAGCTGGTTACGGAAACCAGTTGGGATCACAAGCGAGACGCTTTTATGCGTTCTGCGGGGAGTGCGCGGCTTTCACGCTGGGCTGCATGGTCATCGTGATCCACTCCTATCATATGTATGGAGAATTTCCTGTAGCGTCTTATGAGCTTCGCGGCAGGTTGCGGACGGCGCCTGAAAGGATCTTGTGGATGATGGACAGCGAGACGAGTCACTGTGTCAGCCACACAACGGTACCGAAGACTACGCCCTAACACTTCTATTTCTGGCTTACCTTGACAGCGGTTTTAGATCTCGGGAAGGCTTTGTCTGACTGTAATTTTGTCTGTTTTGCAGGGTTTAACTTACGCCGGTGCAAGGACATCGTATTGGACGGAAAAGTTGCCGCATCGGACTAATTACAAGACCATTGATGGTGCTTTTATCCCCACGTGGTTTCCAATAGTGCTGGGTCTCCTGTTCGAGATGTTCATCTCATTGCTTCTCGTCATCAGTGGCTTTTCCTTTGCGCGTTTTGCCACATCGCGTTACGGTTGGGAATTTCTGGTCTATTTGGTGAGGTGCATGGCGGAAACGCTTCAAAGCACCTATTTGGGGAAGTGCTTCGCTGGAGCAGATCGATGCATCGAGGCGTATTTCGCAAAGCACTTTGGCGGTAAAACGGATGACCACAGCACTGAACGGTATACAATTAGCAGCAAACAGCAGGCTTATTGCAATTACGCGGCTCTATGGAAAGAAATTCGACTCATATACTACACACTACACAGATCAAGATTCGACGATTTGTGAGCGGTTTATAAATGTCTGACTATGCAAAGTGACCAGTCCATAAGAAAAATCATGTGTTCAGAGGATGGGCCTTTTGAAGGCTGACTGCATATAATTTGATTCATCTAGTTTTGAACTACATGTTGCGGTAAATTCAGCCGTATTTCGAAGTTCGAGTTCAACTTTTTTCGCTTAGCGGGCAGTTTGATAATATGGATTCGCACACCGGACATTGGCGGACAACAGCCAGGCGGGTGACCCGCCATTTCGTCGACGAAAATTCGTCGACCGTCACTTCGTCGAACCGACACGATGTCGACCCGTCAGTGGCGTCGAACTGATGTTTAGTTAAATCATCTCAGTTTTCTTAGTTTTCTTAGTTTTCTTAGGTTTCTTAGGTTTCTTAGGTTTCTTAGGTTTCTTGGGGTTTCTAGCCGTTGCCCTCGTGACGGTCGACGTAGTGCGACCTTGCCTCGGTCGACGAAGTGTTAGTCGACGAAATGTCGGTGAGCCGATAAATACTTATTATCACGTAATCATTTTCCGAAAAGTTTTTGTCACGGAGTCGCGCCGAGTATCGTGTCTCTGTGACCGGTACGCGAATCCATATTGTAAACATGTCCGGAATGCGAAAAACATGGAAGTATAAAATTTTATATAACAGCCTTATTGATATTTTTTTGGTACTCTGCTGTCGTAATGCGGTCATATGTTCGACAGGACCCGTCGCAGCAGTCCAGCGGTAAAGGAAGATGCCCTTGAAATCTTGGAAAGCAACAGCGCATCTATTATTGATGATGATGATTCACAGTGCGAATCAACTGATGGCGACCTATCGAACGCAGCGGACGAGGAACGCGGTGCTGGCGGGGAATATTCGTGCGCATGTTCCCAGCTAGGCAATCTGGTCCTGGACACTGCTAGCCGCATAACCTGATAACGCGTCCCAAGGGGAACCGCTAATACTAACAACGCGCTGCCAGTCGCGTGTGGATGCGTGGATGCGCATGACCGGCGCGTGCACCTGTTGTTCATGCTGTTGCATAACTAACTTTCATTTGTCATGGGAAGTGTATCGATAGTCTTGGGTGGTATGTTGGAAAGTGTGATAACGGAAAAGAATGTCCTTGGAAATGTTGTGAACTGAATGCATTGGCATGTGGCTAGACGGTCTCATTTTGTGGTAGTGTGCTTCTGGCGGAAATGATGGAATCATTCTGACTTTACGATCTGTGCAGAATACAGCTTACGGTATTAAACGACTAAACATCGTTGTTACGGGATATCGTAAAGGTCATAGACGTAGCCGTGTAAAGATACGGGTAACAAACTGGTGCCGAAACCAGTTCAGGAAACGTACGGAGTTTGGGATTTTTATAATTGCCATTAATTCCTGATACGCGGTACGTCTGTTTTTGCTGTGTATACGATACGCAGCAGTGGAAGTTTTCAGTCTAATAATTTGCGGTTTAACCTGTTGATCGTATTCCTGTGTGTTGTGACGCACTGTGGATTATCATCACACCGATTTTGTGGTTTTATCTGCCCTTTGTTCCCACGTCGTCTACAGTCCGGAACGAAACGTGAGTAAATACCTTGCCGTTCCCCTGCTAATTACGTAGTTTGCCAGAATGTCTACAAGTGGAACCACTCCATCTACCCACACGCCCACCTACACCAGCCAGCCAATAACGACGGCAACGCATACATCATCAAGCACGGGAACCGCGCAACTGCTCAGTCCTCGTGAGCTGGCGGCGGAACTCGACACGTTACACTTGGCCGGACCAGCACGGACATTGGAGCTGTTCCAGGGACTCGCGAAGGACGATGTTGTGGCGTGGCTGCGACGCTTCGAGACGATGGCGCTGGCGCAGCGCTGGGACGACGAGAGGAAGATAACGCAAGCGTCCATCCTACTGGCGTCAGCTGCCGCTATTTGGTGGGACAGAGTCACCGATGACGGCACCAGACAGCCATACAACAGCTGGCGGGAATTCAAGACGGCAATAACCACGCGCTTCCAAACCGAGGATTACAAGAACCAGCTGAAGATCCCAATTGCGCAACGGAAGCAAAAACGGGATGAAGCGCTGGAGGATTACTATAACGATATTGTGACTTTATGTTACAGATATGACCGCGCCATGGAAGATGACACACTCATTTCCAAGCTGCGCAACGGGCTGCTGCCGGAGTATCTGTCACGTGTCGCGCTGTCCAAAGCAAAGACGCCGATGTCATTTCTGTCCGACCTTCAGTGCGTTTCGGAGGCGATCCGCTTGGAGCGGAAGAATCGCGGAAATGACGGTCGTGGTGGATCGTCTCACTCCGAATCAAGTGGCGCAGGCGGCGCACAGCACGGTGGCAACCGCTTCAACAAATGGAAGCGGCACGGCAGAGAAGCGGACGGCAGTGGAGACACAAGCGGCGCCGGAAACAGCGACCACAGTGGTGGCAGCAGTGGCAGCGGATGGCGCGGCGGCAGCGGCGGCAGGTTCAGAGGCGGCCGCGGAGGTCATGGCGGTAACGGCGGCGCAGGCGGAAGAGGCGGCGCTAAGCCGGTCAGTGGTAAGCGTTGCTATAACTGTGAAAGCACCGACCATCTGATTAGGGACTGCCCGAAGAACAAAGCGAAGTTCAGCGGTACTGGACAGGCACAGGCACGGTCAATGATTGTGACCGAAGCAGTGGAAGTTGGCACTACGGAACGGTGCACAACTGGAGGAAACACCCGGATCGGAGCATCAGCTGGCACAGCTGACAGATGTCTTGAAAGAGAGGCGTTGTCAGCAATGTCGCCGGCTGCCGGCGGGTCACCTGGGGGTGGTAAGGATACGGCAAGTATCGGATTTTACGGATGGAATAATTTACCGCTGTATGATAATGAAACATACATGTATAACGCCATGCATGTTCAAAGCAGTGCAGGGCAACGAGCGTATGTGCGCGCGTGTATGGATGGCGGGCGACAACGGGCTGACGAAGGAGCCGCGCATGGAGGCGCACGTGGAGGCGCGCATGGAGGCGCACGTGGAGGAGGCGCAATGCGGGCCAACACCCGGTGGGAGCAGCACGTCCAATGCATGCTGGGACCGGCCGTAGCTCAGCTTAGAGGAGGTCGTCGAAGCGTCCCAAGGGGACACCGCATCCAAGGTCACGGGACATGCAGCAGAGATGTTGGTCACCAGCCGAGTGGCCACCGCGTGGTCCATGTGGTACACGTCACAATTGGAGAGCAACGTCGCAGTGTATTTGAGCGTCTCGGCGCAGTGGATTGGCAGCGTCACCAAGTCCCGCGACCACGGAGGACGCTGAAGCGACTGCAGGACCACGATGTTGTTGTTCGGGTACGCAACAGACATGTGGTGGATCGGAGTGGTCCCAGTGGATCTGGAAACCGGCGCCGAAGCGCGTGGCACAGCGAACGGTCAGCACAGGGGACAGCACAGGGATCACCACAGAGGACATCGAGGAGGCAACCAGTGTCCAGCCGGATCGGACCAACCGGCGTATTCAGTTTCGATGATCCGGAAGCTACGTATGCTGATCGGTATCAGCAGGGACTTCGTATGCAGCGTCAAAGAGGACGTCGGCAGAACCCATGGCAGACGTTTGCTATGATGACCGTGAAGCACCACAGGGCGGAGATGCAGTCTGATACAAAGGCGTTTGGACCGGCACAAGAACCGCTACAGATGTCAGGGTCAGTACCCATAATGCCCATTCGCATAAACGGACGACCTGCTACTGCATTGGTGGATACCGGTGCCAGCTTGTCAGTGGTCAACATGAGTTTTGTGCGCGGAATGGGATGCGAAGTGATGCCGGACAGCGTCGAGGTCACGATGGCCGACAACCGCGTAGTGCGCACAACTGGCCGTGTCGTCCTGGAAGTGGAGGTATGTGGGTTGAAGGGAACCATACCATTCCAGGTATTCGATGGGTTCAACAGTGGCAAATATGACGCAATGATCGGGTGCAATGTAACTGGTATACCCGGCATATTGGTTGATGTTGCAAACAACAGGTTGCTGGGGCCAAGCGACTATGTGTTGACGAAGGGGCTCACCGAAGTGCAACGATCAACGCTCGGACTGTCCAAGGAGGAGCAATTGAAACGGATGTCCACAATGAAGAGAAGCGGCGGTGCCGGTCAGCCAACGTCTAGCCGTGGTCAACCAGCAGTGGCAAAGGTCACCGGCAAGTTCGGCAGCACCGCTGTGGGCCGCAACGGACAGTCACAGGGGCAACCCAAGGGGCAAGTTACCAGTGCCGCAGCAACAGTCCCGGCCCAGCGGGAAGCGGCAAGGCTGCAGCCAAGAGTGAAGGCATTCATGATGGCACTTCTTCATCAGCAGACTGGTGGTGGACAAGTCCTTCAGCAGCGCAAGCTGGCCGTCGCAATGGACGGTGTCCCTGAGTTGGATATGGACAACTGGGACTATTCTTGGCCTAAAGTTCCGATTTCCCAATTTGATATTGGTGACGCTCGTACACAGGATAAAGTGGAGGAGTTTTCAGCCTTTTTGGAACAGTTTGCCGATCTGTTCCATACAGATGACAAGATGATGGGAATGGCCAAGGTGGAGCCATTCAAGATTGTACTGCAGCCCGGCACGAAGCCGCGCTATCAAGGTCAGTACCGCAGAACTCCGAAAGAATTCGAAGAGATGGAGCGGCAGATTAAAGACATGTTGGCGAAAGGGGTGATCAGGCGTTCGAAGAGCAGCTGGTGCTCGCCCTCGATGCTGGTCGACAAGGACCACGGCGCAGCTAAGCGGATGTGCTCTGACATGCGAGGGGTCAACGCGGTCACGGTTGCCGACCGGTACCCACTCCCCAACGTGGATGACTGTCTACAGGTGCTCTCCAAGGCGAAATATATTACCACAATGGACCTGCAGTCAGGTTTTTGGCAGATACCATTAGCGGAAGAGTCGAAGCCCATTACAGCATTTCAAGCAGCCGGTGGTCTGTACGAGTATAACGTGGTATGCTTCGGTTTGCGCAACGCCCAGGCACATTTTCAGCGGACGATGAATGATGTCCTGCACGGTATGCTGTTCAAGAATATGTTTTGTTTTCTCGACGACGTTGTGTGTGGGCACGAAACATTGAAGGAACACAAAGAAGTCGTCGGTGAGATTTGCATTCGGTTCCGTCGTTACGGATTGATTCTGAAGCCCAGTAAGTGTCACTTTTTAAAGTCACGCTGCAAAGTTCTCGGGTTTATTGTCACACCAGAAGGCATTGAACCGGATCCCGAGAAGGTCACAGCGGTCCAGAATTTCCCACGACCGGTGACTTTGAAAGAGTGCCGTTCCTTCTTGGGCCTTTGCGGTTACTATCGCCGCTTCATCAAGGGATTCTCGGCGATAGTGGAGCCGCTAACCCGGCTGACAAAGAAAGATGTTCCGTTCGAGTGGTCCCAAGAACAGCAAGAGGCGTTCGACGCGATGCGGCAGGCTTTGTGCACTGCCCCTGTGTTGGTCCACTTCGACGCTGACCGTGACATTGAAGTCCATCCAGATGCGTCGGCCTACGCAATCGGAGTTGTCGTAGTGCAGAGAGATGAAGAGGACCGGGAGCGCGTGGTAGCCTACGGAAGCCGCAGACTGAACAAGGCGGAGTGCAATTACACCACCACCGAACGAGAGTGCCTTGCGATTGTATACACTTGTGAGAAGTTACAGAGTGAAAGTGGAAGTCTGCAACTGCAACCAGCCGCAGTATGTGGGAGTGGTCAGTTTAAAGCAACTGTTTAACTGCAAAGCACAGAATACGAGCCTGAAGTCTATGCCTGTGAATTTCGACTTGTGGACTCGGAAGCCGGATGGAAAAACCTTTAAAGGTTATGTATGCCGGCAGTGGGACAACCAACTACACATTGCGGAAAGCTTTTTGTGGCAGACGGATACCACAAGAGACGTGGCGCATGTGCCCACCAGTGCACAGGCCTGCTGGACGATGGTGCAGACCATGAAATGCGGTAACTCGCCTATGGTCAAAGCAGGACGCGTATGGAGTTACACAGCTACGCCAACTGGCGAAGGAAGTTTGAATAGCGTAAAAGATTTCACAACCAGAAACTGTGAAATGGAAGAAGTAACATTGGAACAGAATTGTGACAGCTGCCCGGTCGTAAGCGTGATTGGAGAAATCAGCCATAAACGTTCTGATGGATACTCAGTTCAAGGGCAGCGTACATTCGTATGGAGAGAAGTGGAAGCAGTAAGGAAGCCATGTGAAGTAAAAAAAATGGCACAGTGGCAGGGAAGCCTATACGCTGAAGCGGACGGACTGCGACTACGAGACTCAGTTCATCAGCTGGATTTCATCCTGGGAAATGTCACAGCGGTGTGCGGTACAGTACGTTATCAGTTGATTACTATAACGCAACAGCCGGACTTGTTTGTTACACTGTACACTGAAGACAGGAAACCGCTGAATGTCAGTCAAGCACGGGATCAGCTGAACGGAGTAAAGAAACCGGCGCCCAGTAAGTTCAAGAGAAGGAGGCCATTGCGACGCGGCAGACGGGATGTCGGTGGTGACAACTTTACACTTGACCTGGACCAGATCCTGCAGCCGCATCTGCAGTTCGAACAAGATATGCAAACGGAATATCTGAATGCTGTGGGCGACGCGGTGAACACACTCGACTGCCAAGTGGCCCGTGCGCGTTTGAGTAATGTATACGCGCTGTCGCGGTTGTCCGGTGTCCTAGCGGCGCGCGAAATGCAACTTCGGAGATGCCAGCCACTGGAGAGTATGGGAACGTTTGGTATTATACGCCAGTGTCGAGCAGCGGTAATCGATTTCGAAGTACACAACGGCTCCAAATGTGGACCACAGCCTAGGAGCGGAAACTTCACAATTGCTACCGACGGTTACACCCTTGCCAGTTACACCGAGTGCTACTGGAAATCTGCGGTTGTGAATTTCAACGGTAAACCGTACGAAGCAAGAAACGGACAGTGGGTGTTGGTGAAACCGGTCAGTAGTGTCAATCACCTGCTCCTGGCGGCACATTTCAAAGAGTCCACAGACTTGTCTGGATCGGCACTGCAAGCGGTGGTTGAAAAAGATCACTCATTTCAGTTCAGCTTGCTTGGTCAACTTGCCGGCACGATGGATCAGCATGGGATCGCTGATGTTGGCCAGATTGTGCAAAGTGTGTCGAAGTCCGCACAAGTGCCAGAACTATTCTACCGAATGAAACTGTGGGAGAGCATTGGCGGAAGTATAGCAGGTATACTTATTTGCGCCTGTTTTCTTGTGTTGTTTTGAAGTATGGCCGCAAACTGTTCGCGTGCCTATGGAGATGCCCGACGCGGAGAGGAAACCGGAAACGGAAATCCGAACGTGGAGCGCGAGTGACGGAAGAAGCGACGACGGACATGGAGGATGGCGCCGGTGGTCGGATGCATGGATCCGGAAGCGCCCCTGTGGACTTGGAGGAAGCCTCGAGCGTGGCCGTCAACAAGGATAGTGTGACCTGGAAGAAGGAAACGGATCCGTCCCTGCGCGTCGTGGGATTTCTGCCTGAAGCCTGAAGCCTGACCGTCCCTTCCTTTTGGAGGACCAAAAGTCTTAAGGAGGGGGATATGCTAGCCGCATAACGCTGATAACGCGTCCCAAGGGGAACCGCTAATACTAACAACGCGCTGCCAGTCGCGTGTGGATGCGTGGATGCGCATGACCGGCGCGTGCACCTGTTGTTCATGCTGTTGCATAACTAACTTTCATTTGTCATGGAAAGTGTATCGATAGTCTTGGGTGGTATGTTGGAAAGTGTGATAACGGAAAAGAATGTCCTTGGAAATGTTGTGAACTGAATGCATTGGCATGTGGCTAGACGGTCTCATTTTGTGGTAGTGTGCTTCTGGCGGAAATGATGGAATCATTCTGACTTTACGATCTGTGCAGAATACAGCTTACGGTATTAAACGACTAAACATCGTTGTTACGGGATATCGTAAAGGTCATAGACGTAGCCGTGTAAAGATACGGGTAACAACACCCTCTGGCTGGTCCGCTGGGTGGGCAGCTGGATGTTTCTCCCGTTCCCGCTGGCTGAATTCCTGTTGCCCGAGCGCCTGCAGTTACCAATACTGCTGATCGTTTTCTTGGGATACTTTGTGTGGATCATGAGGATGGATGCAAACAAGCAGACGGATGAATCCGCTGATGGATTAGATATAAGCAGTTCCCCTGTGGAAAACGATATCCAGGTCAGCGAGAAGGCTGATGACAAAAAACCTGTATTCGGGGCACCATGCTCCAAATGCGGGTTCACCGTGTATTTGTGTGGATATATGGGGGAGAAGGCGAAAGGGAAGACTGTCCGCCTCTTGGGTGTATATGACGTGGATGGCCAAACACGGAACACGAAGGGCGCGGATACGGCGACTTTACAATACTAATGCTTTATTGGTAGTATTAGTATTAGTAGTATTAATAATACTATACAGGCAACAACGAAAGCTCGACGCCGAGTTTAATAATCTCTGCTAAATGATTGATGTGCACATACTGCTTATTTCTGATTCCTTAGTTTTGCTTACATGATCTTCAAAGCCACAACACTCTTTTATTTCGTGGTGCTGCTGCTCTGCAGGCTACTGTTATGTATGAGGAAAAAGCAAGATATTTCATAACCACGCAAGCCTACTTTTTACTGCTATTTTCTACCGTTCCGTATTATGGTCACCCGTCTCGCCGCCAAAGCACTTCGTTACATAGGTGGTTTGCATGTAATATTTTCGCAAAACGAAAGTTCGCAAAAGTCTTTCAAAGATTTGCAACACTTTGCGCCGTGGTGCAGTGGTACTGCCTACGCAGATCTAACGACGTAGCCGGGGTTCGATTCCCCCATCGGTGCATTTTTTGGCCATTTCTCGGTTTCCCTCGGATGGCGCCCTGCTGAGATGGCATTCGCATTGTGATTCCGCAAAGTACACACACGGATTATCGTCCGGATAGGCCTTGGGGCTGCCACGGTTTTTCGTCAACATCCGCATACTTACAGAAAGAGGACCGTTCATTTACGTGGCTATTTGCAGATTTTGTTAAAATTAATTACTGTTACGCTTAATCACAGCAATCATGCGTCTCTTATTGCTGTAGCACAGCTGTAATTGAAAGTTGAATCAGCACTTTCGGATTATCAAAGCGCACAGCTTCAAGAAAAGCTAATGCGTTTGCCTAAAGCGATTTTCAACGGAGTAGCGGTGATTAGAAAGCCGCGTTGAAAATTGCTGTTATTCATTCATCTGCATCGCTGTTGTGCATTGGAACTGTGTGCAAAACCTGCCGTTTCCAGCTATTCAGTATTTTTAAGGAATTGCAGAGAAGATTTACTGACACGTTTAACGAGCAAGAACTCCGTTGCATGTATGTCAAATTCGTCGGTAGAATCAGTATGTTTCCGTCAGTGAATGTACTTCCGTGCACAGTTCTTCTGGCACTGTTGCACTCCACCGCTGGCAAAAGCAAAGGTAGGAGTTCGAAAGATAGCTCTTGCGTTGAGATGCATGAATTACTACAGATGTTTTCGATAGTTATGAATCGGTATCGATTAATGTGACGCTTTTTCTGAGTAGATGGTGACGAATTCAACAGTGACAGTGCCGGTATGATCTCTCCGCTACCCGACTTCAACACGGAACCGATGACGCGCGACCAGTGCGAGCTGCAGTTCACCGCCCACTGCGGCGTTCGCACCAACATCGGCAACTCGCTGGCCTGCGCCCAGAACCACGGTCTGGCCCTTAACTGCAGCGATGCAGCGTCTAACGAGGAAGTGCACAAATTAGCACTGGCATTGTCCCAACCGCCCCTGAAAGCCGTCTCCATCAGTCTGAGCGACGGCCCGCAAATATCCTTCGACAACCTGGCACCGGTCCGCCAACAGACCGTGGTCTTTCACTTGCGCAATTGCCGTTCCTCGCGCGCCACGAAGAAGCTGGCCCAGCTGCTAATGCCGCATTTGCTGGAGTTCGGCGCGCATGACTGCCGATCGTTGAACGTGCGGCGAGCGGACTTTTGGCCGTCGATCAAGCTGCGTCTGATCCAGTTTGTCAACAGCACACTGGAGTCCCTCGAAACCGGCACCTTCGCGGACTTGCCCGGACTGCGGCTGCTTTCGCTGGAGCGCGGATTCAGTCAAATGGAGCTCTTCCCGGAAGACGTGCTAGCGTATTTGATGCGGTTGCACTGCGGCGGCGAGTTTGAGCCGTTGCGGCGTTGGTGGCGCGTCAGCGGCTTGTTGCAGCAAGCGACGGAAGGCGCCGTCTATCGCATCGAGTACGATTCGTGGAAGAACGAAGACCTGAGCAAAAGCGAAGTTTTCATGCCGATCGACTGTGCCGCGATGCCGTTTCCCAACGGATCGGCTTCGGTCGACTTTACGATGGAAGTTTTTTCCGTTAACGAAGGCCTCCGTGAGTTTCTTGCCAATTGATTTTGACCTTTTTTTCTAATCATTACGGCTTCATGACTGCTTTAGGCCCAGGACTTGGATATCGCTCTTTCAACTGGACAGAAATCGTCGACGAATTCCCGACGTTTTCGACCGAGCCGGTGACGGAGACCGAATGCCAGATATTGTCAATTGCCAAATGTTATTATCTACAGCGCAGACCACTCAGTAGCTGCAAGAATAATCCATTCACGCCCGAGAGAGCCGGACAACAGCCGGAACCTGACTGCAGTGGCGCTGCACGGAAGCGCGAAATTCAAGAGCTGGCAGTTGGGATGGCCAAGCACCGACTGCGACCAACAACTCTGGTAATCGGTCAGGAATGGAATATCACATCCGCCGACTTAGCTCCTATTCGGAGGACTATAGTCGTCTTCGACGTGGACGGCTGCACGGGAAGCCGTGGGACGCAGACGGCCGACGAGCTCCGACTGAGCAGTCTTCTGCACTTCGGCATAATGGAGTGCAGCGATCAGGTTGTGCAACGGAGTGACTTCCAGCGCTTACCGAAATTGCGGGAATTACTGTTCTGCAACACCACGTTGCGCAGCCTGGAATTCGATGTATTCGGCGCTCTGCCTGACCTGCGTCTGCTGGCGCCTGAGTTTGATTTCTTTTACATGAACGGTTCCGAGTATTCCGACACTGTAACCGAGAATTTGCCTTTGCCTCCGCGGATCATCGACTATGTGTGGCGTCTGCACTGCGGCTGCGATTTCGCATGGTTCCGGCAATGGTGGACGAATAACACGCGGCTCTTGCACGGTCAGTACACTGACGGGGGCGAAGTGTGGGCCTTTCGGGACTTTGTCAGAAACCAGCCGTATAATCGCGAAGACATATTCCTACCCATAGACTGTGCACAGCTCATTCCCCGAGTTGCCGCCAGCATCAACACCACGGAAACCGCTTTTTCACGACACGCAGAACCTTGCATTGGTCAATGACGTTAAAAAGGGTTGACCCGCCCGTTGACTATAAAGGTCGGCGAGTTTACGGTATGCCTTTTTTGAAGACAAAACCATGTATGTGTTGAACTCTGTTGCTGTAGTTTTTCGAAGGTTTCAAAGGTACATGGATGCATTGCCGCTACAGACAAATACCGAAAGTGTTGCTAATCCGAGAAACTACATTGTCGACTTAAATTGAACCAAGAGTCGTACAACGTGGCCCTATCGTACGTACAGCATAGATCACGCTGTAGTTTTGCGGTCAAATTAATTTTGACTCAACAGTACCTGAGTACCCGGAAATGTAATAAAATACATACATCAAGACGCTACAGGGTTACTCATAACCTAAGCGACATAGTTCGTGTACTAGTACATGGATGTGGCATATGCACTGAATTGCTTGCCCGTGCGCTGGTGTACACACTACACACTTTGAAACAAAAGTGCTGTTTTCGCGTACACTCTCTGTGTTCTGACTTTTGAGGGTCCGCTACAGTACATTTTTCTTTGTGTAACTCTTCAAAAGCCAGACCAACGCAACAACTACTGAAATATACAAGTACGATCTGAAACAATGACGAGCAGTTCCTGAAGAATCGCTGCAGACAGTCACTAGTTATTTGTTTTGATTAGGCAGATTTGCTGTGTAAATTTGTTTTTTTATTTTACTTATTTTGTTTATTTTGTGACTTATTTTACAGCTGGAGAGTATAACGGGCTGTCATGAAATCTTTGCCACAGTAATCGGGAATTTGCAAAGTAGATTAAAGCTTCACATTAACTATTTCGATAGGGCGGAATCACTTGCTTGTGCAGAAATGTTTGTACGCCGAAAGCGGACTGCTACTCACATCATAATCTATTACGTAGAGCTATAAACCAGAGGTTAACGCGATTTTATTGGAAGCAGTTTACAGTCTGTACAACCTTGCAAGTTTAGCGACAATTCCCCATCCTAAACATGCTTATGATTTTCTTGCCAAGGTCAGCTAAAAACTGTACTCATTGAATCAGTACCTTACATACGGGACCACCACATGCGATAACGTTATCGCAAGCAGCGCGTGCACAACAAGTCTAGTCCCCCCCACTTGCCGCTGGAACTCGAGTAGTCTCGACTGCGGAAGAGCGTGCAACTGAAGCGGCAGGCGCGGCGGCTATTAGCTTCGCTGATTTAACGGGGCCTGCGTTCGGTGGCGGGACATTTTGCGATGGAGTTGCTGGTTGACCGTTGGAAATCACGTTAAAGACTTTAAAGACCTTGGGGAGGCAGCGTCCTTGATTCGTCGAATGTTGACTGGTGCATTCACAATACCCAGTCTTGCATTGGTCTGGACAAATGGTAGCACACTCTATGTGCGTTCTGCACGTCCTTCTGCTAGCGCAAACGTCTACAAAGAGGCCGAAAACTCACCACATGACCGAGTTAATCTTGTTCATTATAGCCATAAACAATAGCGTCAAGGTCACTTACTTCCGTACAGACCGTACGCGTACCCGGATGTAGGGCTGATTCCAGAAAGGCACCCAAGCGCGAAAAATAAAGCAATGGAAACGTCCATCTCGCGATTGAGGGAAAACAAGTCGTACATTAAAGCTTGGCAGTCTGGACTGTAGTTCGTGGATAGCCGCTTTATGTACCATTCGTCCCCATCGCTGATCAGCTACCTCAGCACGAGGATATCGCGTCTTCACCGAAATTTGATGTCGGTTGCATACCACGGGTCGGTTTCAAGGGCCTTGCTCCGCGAAATATACTTACTGAAATGCAAGTTGGCGGCTTTTAAACCTGACACATGACGCGTTTCCGACTGGAAGCGCGCGACGATCGCCACATACCGGCTGCAGCCGCGTAGCCCCATGCAGATCTGCAGGCGTGTAATGCCGCCGTGATTTGCCGACTCGGCTACTATCCAAAGCGGCATCGTGACAAAATGGCAGTGTCACGCCGGTGAATTTCTCTGGATCCTTGCCGCGCGTCCATTCGGCAGTTTGTCAAGTGCTACATACTGGGAAAGTCCGCCGATCGGCATGTATGCCGGCTGATTTCTGATAGCCCGTTCTGCGAAGTCGGGCTAAGGTATTCAAATGACATCCGATTACGGAGAAAACGCTAAGTCATTGTGTGGTGGCAGCTGATTGTCAACGTAGGTCATGAAACAGACATCCGTACAAGTAGAGCAAATTGTCTCGTCTGACTAGGGTTGTCATCACACGTTATCACAATCACGCCCGTTTCCTGTTCCCAATGCCATCATGGCGAAAAATTGGCGCCATGATAATGTAACGTGATGAAGTGATGGGACGATTTCGCAGTCCCAAAAATACGTGTTTTAGTGCCAAAATTTCCTTTTTTTCGGTTATGCCGCATAATTTAAGCGCACTACAAACTCGCCTTCTCTTCTAAATCTTGCCAACGCTCTGGAATGGAAAATTCAAAAGTGTGGGCTATTGCGATCTGGCCATTATTGTGTTGCCGCTTCAACCACAGTCCATTTGAATTTCTTAATAATGGATTTCTGACATACGACTGCTGATTTCATAAAAGTACGATGCCAGTTTCGTATTAGCACATTTGCGGTACTAAATATGTCAAATAAATAAATAAATATGGGCTTGCTAAATATGTCAAATATATCCCTTTTCGTCCACCAATGCCATCGCTTCACGTTCCCAACCCCATCAAATCCCACCCACCAAATCTGGTGAGATGACAACCCTACGTTTGGCTGTGTTATTATACCCTGTTATCGCAGTGCATATTGTAATTGTGCTTTTGTCCGTAATTTCTGGTCTAGCCTGCCTGCGGCTGCGCTAATAAGTGACAACGGTATGTGACCTTTGAGAACTGCAAAGCTCTGCCCGGCGAAATGATACCAGCCTTCGGTGATGAATATTCTGTTTCATGGCTACACGTTTGAAGGCGCTTTACGTTGGCAATAAAACCTATTCGATAAAGGAGCCATCGTAAGGGTGGGGACATAAGGATGGCCCACCTTGCCAACTAACGATAATTTATACGTATCGTAGCATTAGCGCAGCCGTGTATAATTATTATAAACGTTTCGCGTTGATTTATAATCTCTAAATGAGATAGAAATTTCCAGATTTTACATGTTTGTACGCAGTATGCAGTTGAAAAAGCTTGTTATGCATTATGCTGCTGTTGCTAATTCATAATTACATGCGTTGCTCTGTCACATCATTACCACAACATTGCACATTTATACATATATCCTCATTTAAATTTCAGCGTAATTTACAGACATTTTAAATGCAGTCATTACAAACCTGTAATTACTGTATTGCTACGTTAGTAGTTATTGGAGATATACCGTAATGGTTACAGCAACGTTCAAGTATGTAACTTTACTGGTGCACCGTGCATGCAATATATGCAGTTGGGCGCATCGCGCATAAAAGCCTAACAGCTAACGAAGCGGAAAAGAAGAGAAATTTACTTAGTGTGAAGCCTTTGAAAATTGAAACGCTGGACGGCAAATTTGTATTGTTGAACAATAATGTCGATGATATTATGGGAAGACATAAATCCCCGGTCGTTACAGATTTGCTGGCACCAGCCACCCAAGTAAACACACGGTGATAAACTAGTTGATACTCTAGTTAAAATTTACTCTGTAGTTGTCGATCGATACGACAGGAAACCGGCGAAAAACGAGCCACGAAATTTCTTCGCCAGCGGATAAGCATCGAAATCCAACGAGGAAATGCGGCATCGATCTTGGGGACAGCACCGATAGGGGCAAATTTAGACCAAATTTTCTTTGTGATTAGGCTGCCTTTGTCGGTTGATGCTTAACGTGATCGTTTCTGAAGTTAATGTGAAATTTTTCTGTGAAGTTGGTACGTACTATTAAATAATTAAAAATATCGGTGAAGCGCTAAATAACATAAATTTTGAATTACACGCCCTCTCCGAATTAACGCCACGTGCGGTTTTAAACGCCCGCTCCAGTGCGTACGAAATAATAAAGCCCCCATTCCCCTCCTCCCCAATTATCGTTCCGGGCGGTTTACCCGTCGACTACCAAGTATGCACACTGGCAAAATAATCGTCTTCTGTTTTGATAATTACATAGCACATACTTTATGTATTAATATTTGTTGCGCTGATATAATAATAACCGATAAAAAAATATCCGATCCTGGCAGATATTATTTACATCTACGTACGTGTTCAAACTGGCAGTTGTAGTTAAACCAGTTTTTTTTGTAACGCAGTTTCGAAAAACGATGCTCCAAGAAATCAGCCGGCATACATACAGATTGTGTAACTGCTCCCAATAAAATCGCGTTAACCTCTGGTTTATAGCTCTACGTAATAGATTATGATGTGAGTAGCGGTCCGGTTTTGGCGTACAAACCTTCTGCACAGACAAGTAATTCCGCCCTATCAACATAGTTAATGTTAAGCTTCAACTACTTTGCAAATTCCCAATTACTGTGGCAAAGATTTCACTACAGGCCGTTATACTCTGCAGCTGTCTGATACTTTTAGCATAAGTATTGCTCTGTGGTATGCATGTTAACATTGTCAAAAATTTGTTGGATAGTCCAACACAATAAATCGGCCTAACTGAGTAAAACAAATAAGCAGTGGCTGCCTGCAGCGATTCTTCATGAACTGCTCATCATTGTTTTAGATCGTACTTGTATGGTTATTACGTTGACCTGGCTGTTGAAGAGTTACACAAAGAAAAACGTAGAACTGCGTTATTTTTAGTTTAAACAATGTTAAGTTGAATAACCCAATAAAGTCCTCCATATGTCGCTTTGATAGATTATGATAACCCTGTTGCAGAAGATATAGAGCGTCTTAATGTAAATTATTACGTTTCCGGGTACACAGGTACTGCTGATTTAAATAGAGCCGCAAAACTACAGCGTCATCCATGCTGTACGATAGGGGCACACTGTACGACTCTTTGTTCAATTTAAGCCGACAGTACAGTATTTCCATTTTTCTCGGATTAGCACCACTTTCGGTATTTGTCTCTGTAGTGAAAATGTATCCATTTACCTTTGCAAACCTCGAAACACTACAGCAACAGAGTTTAAGACATACTGGGTTTGTCTTCAATAAAATCATAAACTCGTCGACCTTTATAGTCGGCGAGTCGATGCCCTTTAACGTCAGTGACCAATGCAAGGTTCTGCGTGTCGTGAAAAAGCGGTTTCCGTAGTGTTGATGCTGGCGGCAACTCGGGGAATCGGCTGTGCACAGTCTATGGGCAGGAATATGTCTTCGCGATAATACGGCTGGTTGCTGACAAAATCCCGGAAGGCCCAAGCCTCGCCCGC